TGGTTTTCCGGCCAACTATCCGGCAAATCACAACTTTGATCATCCCAACCAAAAGTCCAACATAGCCACAAACATTCCTACTCTACCACAATCTAAAAAACTGTTTAGTCATCTGTTTAATGAAGATGGGAATACTATATTGGGCAAGGTTGAGGGAACTTTCAAAGGAATGCCATCAGCTGTATTCTCCTTGGATGAGGAAAGGAAGCTCTGTAACAACTTCAAGTTTACACTGGTGGGAAGAGCTAGCAGATACATCAATCTTCAAGACGTCAAAAGCTTCCTTGAAGGGACTGGATTCCAGGGGGGCTTCAGATTACGCAGGCTCCTCAACAATGATGTCTTGTTCATATTCAACAAGGAAGAAGATTATTTGAGATTCTTTATTAGAGGTACTTGGTTTATCAACAATATCAAGTTATATGTTTTTAAATGGACACCTGAATACTGCCCTCACCAAGACTGCTCCATAGTTCCTATTTGGGTTACCATTAGCAACCTCCCTTCACATTTCATAAATTTTGAAGCTCTGTTTACTATAGCAAGCACATTAGGTAAACCTTGTCTCTTGGATTCCCAAACAATCAACCTTATACGAACTAGGGAAGCTAGATGCTGCATTGAAATTGACATTGCCAATCCCTTACCTTCTAACATTCATCTGCGAATTGGTCCAAGAGAAATAATCCTCCCCTGTAAGTTTGAAAGTGTTCCAAGCTACTGCAAGCAATGCCATAAACTTGGGCCATCCAAATTCTTGTGCAAAATTCATGGAGCCTCCCCAGATTCTTTTTTTTACCAAGGGTAAAAAAGTGGAATCTAGCAACAATGAAGGTAAGGGTTGGATGGTGGTCAAAAGTAAAAAACACAAGCAGAAACTCCATACACAAACTATAGGACCTGTGCATTATTCAGAGAAGCGTTTGGTGAGTGATGGATGGATATTAGAAGATAATTCTAAGAAGGGCCAAGATACACACTCACACAAGCCATTCACTATAACTAGGGAGGATGGCTGGACATTGGATAAGGGAAAACCCAAGAGGGGCCAGGCTACATCCTCTAAAGTTATTCAGGAATGGATTCCTAAAGATAAATCAAATACTACATTACAACAGGTCAGTTTAATCTACAGGGGCCCAGGTTCTTCTCCAACAGCTATAAGCCAAGCTAATAAAGCTCTAGCCACAGGATTTGACACTACCCCTAAAGGAAAAGATCCTCTTCCTAACCAAGAGACTATTATTAGCTCAATTTTAGTGGAGGGACCTAC